GGGACGGGGGGTGGGGTGGGGGACACACAGGGGTTCCTGTAGCCCTGACTGGGGGTGGCTTTGAACCCCCACTGTTGTGGAGGGTGACCTAAGAATTTATAGTCTTCCCCAAGTGCTGAGTTTGCAGGGGTGCAGCACCACGCCCAGCTGAGTTTCACCTGTAGGGCTGAGGGTGGTGATGGGGACACACAGGGTTTCCTGTGGCCGTGACTGGGGGTGGCTTTGATCCCCCACTGTTGTGGAGGGTGACCTAAGAATTTATGGTCTTCCCCAAGTGCTGAGTTTGCAGGGGTGCAGCACCACGCCCAGCTGAGTTTCACCTGTAGGGCTGAGGGTGGTGATGGGGACACACAGGGTTTCCTGTAGCCCTGACTGGGGGTGGCCTTGAACCCCCACTGTTGTGGAGGGTGACCTAAGAATTTATAGTCTTCCCCAAGTGCTGAGTTTGCAGGGGTGCAGCACCACGCCCAGCTGAGTTTCACCTGTAGGGCTGAGGGTGTTTCCTTCCTTTCTTTCTTTTTTTTTTTTTTTGTACCCCCACTATCTGTCTCGGAAGTCATTCAGTCTGGTGGCATCCACGACTTCTGTACCGAGGATGGTTGCACCTGATAGATGCGGAACATTCTGGAAGGAGCTTGGTGTAATGTGGGTTTTTGCAAAGGGAGGGTTGTCCCCAGGTCACCCCGAGGGGAAACTCCGGACGATCCCTGGTGTGGTAGCCAAGTAGGCGAACAGTGAAAGCCCTTGGTGTGGTGACACATGCCTGTGTATAGTTCCAGCACCCCTTGGCCGGGGCAAGAGAATCAGGAACTATATATAGGTCAGTTCTGGCTGCATAGTGAGACCCGATCTCAAAACAGAGGGAGAATGGGTTTGGGTGGTGGTAGGTACAGCATGGAACAAGTATATTATTTACCCAAGATAGAAACCAGCTGTTTTTAGTTTAGTTTGTTTTTTTCAGGCATAATGTAGAACTAAGATTTTATTTATTTATTATGTACACACCATTCTGCTTCCATGTCTATCTGCACACCAGCAGAGGGCGCCAGATCTCATAACGGATGGTTGTGAGCCACCGTGTGGTTGCCTGGAATTGAACTCAGGACCTCTGGAAGAGCTGTCGGTGCTCTTAACCTCTGAGGCATCTCTCCAGCCCGGGATCCGTGTGTTTTTAAGTTCCCCCTCGATTGAAGCCATTCCACTCTTCCTACTCCAGCTGCGTTTCCCCTGACAGTGTACTTGACGGCTAGGCTTTGAAAGAAAAAAAAAAATAGTGTACTTTCTACTGTTGTGTCCCCAGTGCCTAACATACAGGCTTTGTCATATTTTTAGTGAGGCTGAGCCCCGTGGAGTGGTGCACGTCTGTAATCCCTGCACCTGAGAGGCTAAGGTTGGAGGATCGAAGGTTCAAGGCCAGCCTGGACTGGATAACACTAGTCTGTGGAGAGTGTAAGGATATTGGCCCTCTCACAGTGCACGGGGAGGAGGGAAGGTGTGCTTTGGGAGAGACAGGGATTATTAGGACTGAGGAGAGGTGTAGAATGTGTTTATAGGTGCGTTTTTTTATTTTTATTTTTTTGGTTTTTCGAGACAGGGTTTCTCTGTGCAGCTTTGGAGCCTGTCCTGGCATTCGCTCTGGAGACCAGGCTGGCCTCGAATTCACAGGGATCCTCCTGCCTCTGCCTCCCGAGTGCTGAGATTAAAGGCCCGGCTATAGGTGAGTTTTTGCAAGGTGAAAATTAGTTCTCGGGGCCCGCAAAGAGGAAGGAGAAAACTCCAGGTGGAAACTTCAGGATATACTAGGACCTCTTCCCCTCTAGCTATAAAGGGCCTGTGTGCACCCTCAAGAGGTCTGGAGTGGCTGGGGGGATGGGCAAGGGCCACCACACACCTGCAAGTTCTATGAATCTTAGGGTTTTTTTTCTTTTTTTTTTTTGAGATGGTCTCATGTAGCCCAGACTCTGTGGTCAACAATGACTTTAAACTTCCATCCTAAGGGCTGGATTACAGGTGTGGACGGCCACGACTCTGAGCCTATTGATGTTCAAAGCATGGCTTTGAATGCTTGTTCAACCACCAGTCTGGGGCGTTGGTGGCGCACGCCTTTAATCCCAGCACTCGGGAGGCAGAGGCAGGCGGATCCCTGTGAGTTCGAGACCAGCAGCCTGGTCTACAAGAGCGAGTTCCAGGACAGCTTCCAAAAGCCCCAGAGAAACCCAAAACAAAAAAAAAAAACAAAACCAAAAAAAAAAAAATACCCATCAGTCTGGTGAGGTGACCTCGATCTTGGGCTTTGGAATACCTGAGGGGCCTTTCTGTTCCTTATTTCCTCTTCTGCTTCAAGGGAGCTGTTTCTGTGTGGTACTGAGTGCACCAATCAAGGCCTGGTGGCAGACTTTCCAGAGAAGGAAACAGACAAGAGAAGTTGGGTCCTGTCTGGAGCTATAGCCAGAAAGGCACATATTTGGGTTTAAACCTAGTCAAGGCTGACTTGCACAAATTAGTGTAGGATGAGGCCTGACACTCACTCGGGGCATGGCGGAGCACCTGTAATCCTGGGGTTTGGCAGGAAGATCTGGAAATCAAGGTCATTTGAGACTATTTAGTGACCTTGAGGCTAATCCAGGATGGGGGGGGGGAGTGAAGAGTGGCACTGGAGCTCAGTTGGTACTGTGCTTGCCTAGCACGCACGAAGCCCTAGGTTTGATCCCCAGCGTTTGGGAGGTAGATCGGGGAGCATCAGAAATTCAGGGTCAGCCTCGGATATTTGAGCTCTCATAAAAACAAAACACTTCCAGGACAGTTAGTATCTCCACTGTACCATGTTTTTCTGTGTCCCTAATTTTTAATGAGGGCCTCCCTCAGTCCCTGACATCCCTTGCCACTCAACAACTAAAGGGTTAATGCTTTATGATTGGTGCCCATGCCAGTACCTACCTTTGAATAACTAGGGATGTTATCTCTTCCCTAACCTACTGAATAAGATCCATAAAGTCCTGTTTCCCAGATAAGGAAGTTGAGGCCTCCAGGAGGCAGGGTCTGCAGAGTCAGGGTTCTGTGTACAGTCAAGACAGAACAGAGGCCAGCAATGTCTCACCCCCAGCACTGAGCACAGGGGGGTCTTGGAATGGGGACAAGTGTTATGTAAAAATTTATTGAGTCATCACAGGCCTTTTCTTTCCCCATGTCCAGCATCCCTCTCTACTTGCCAACATCCTGTGTTAGAAGAGCTTGTGGCCAGAGGTGTGACCGTGGGAGAGCTGGCCGGGGATGGACCTTGCCCAGTCACTGCTCTGCTCCTGTCTCTTGTCCCCTCCCCTGGCCATGACAGAGACCCGTGAGCCCGCTGAGACCGGAGGCTATGGCAGCTTGGAGGAAGATGAAAACCTTTCCCCAGGTGAGGTGGCCTTGAGAGTCATGGTGGTGTCATCCTGGGCTTGGGTTTCCTTGGGAGGCTGTGATGAGGAGTGACCCTTTGCCTTGCTGTGGGCTCTCTTATGAGTGGGACTCCTGGTGGTGGGGGATGATTTCCCTGGGAGGCTCTCAGGGGCTGAAGGTTGGTCGTAGTTTTGGTCCTGGGGGGAGATTCTAGATTGGAAGTGTCATTTGTCCCTGCTGTGGATTCTCGAGTAGCTTTGGGAGCTCTCCTCACTGGTGGCTCTGGATTGGCCGTGGCGGTTCTCCCTGTGGGAATGGCTCCGTGCTCTCCTCTTGATGGAGGCTCTGGACCGGCTGTGGTCCGTGTCTGTGCTCGGGGTTTTAGACTGGCTGCGCCCACTGTAAGCGCTAGGCATCTTAAACCGCCTGTGCCCTTTCTTCCTTGTGGCTCTTGATCGGCTGTAGTCTCTTTCTCTGGTGTTTTTGGACCGGCTGCGGCTTTCTTCCTCACTGGAAGTCTTAGGCATCACTTGGCTTCTTTCTCTTCTTCCTGGAGCTTTCCGTAGGCCGTGTTTTTCCCCCCGGCTGTGGGTTCTAGACTGCCTGTGACTCATGTCGGTGGGCGTGCCCCTCCGGGTACGACTCCTTGCCCGACTCCTTGCCCGATTTCTCTTCCAGCTGTAACTCCTTACCTGGCTCTGAGTCCTGTCATAGCTGTGACTTCGGGTCCTGCTGGGGGTCCTAGAGCGGCTGTGACTTCGGGTCCTGCTGGGGGTCCTAGAGCGGCTGTGACTTTGGATCCTGCTGAGGCTGCTGTCCTTGTAAATCTTGGTCAGGCCTGACATGTCAGTCAGATCAGTCATGGTGTGAGTGTGTTCCCTGCTGGGGGCCAGGAATTGGCTATAGCTCCTGGCTCTTCTGGATGCCACAGGAGACTTGCTAGAGCTCTTTAAGGTGGACCTAACTAGGCTGTGGCTCTTGGCCCTACTGAGGTTTGCAAGTAGTCTAGAGCTGCTGCTCCCCAGGTCTGAGGCTCCTGGCAGCTTGGAGCTCTTTTCGTGGCGCAGGTTTCTATGCTGGCTGCTGCCCCTTTCCTGGGTTCTGGTTCTAGGTCGGCTATAACTCTTGCCTCGGCTTTGTTTGCGGTGGGAAGTAGGGGTCCTTACCTTCTTGCCCATACCTGGTTTAGCGGAATGAGTTCTCTTCCTGCTTGGGGACATCTTGGAGCTGTGGCTGTGGCTTCGTCTCCTGCCCGGGGGTCGCCCCCGACTGCGTGTGCCTTTCTGCTGGTGTCGTCCCATGATTCGGGTCTTGCCACCCTTCCTGCCCTTGCTGGCCTTCCTGGCCTTGGTGTCAGTGCTCACCTGACTGGGTGTTCTCGCCTTCCTGTGGCTGCTGGGCCTGGCTGAGGTAACTGTCTTGGTACCTGTTGATCTGGTAGACTTAGAACTACTAGGGCTCATGACCAAGTTAGGGGACTTAGGATGCATTGAGGGACTGTTGGACACTGCTGCTTTGGTGGTCTTCAGGGTAGCTGGAGGTGTGGGAGCTGTGTTGGGCATGGGTGGGCCAGTGGGTGCCGGAGCCATGCCAGGCTTGGAGGATCTCTTTGATGGAGAATGCATGGCGAGTGCAAAGGGGCTTGAGCTCCTAGAAGTCATGGTAAACATGCAAGATTTGGTAGCCCAGGACAACAACCAGATGGCTCATCACAAGCAACTTCGTGAGGTCATAGTGGGCACTGAAGCCCCTGGAGGGTGAGGCCAGAGGGGAGAGAAGGTGGGCCCCTGGCACAAGTCCCCGTTAGTAAATGGAATCACATCCTCTCAGACTCAGCAGGAATGAAAATTGGAGCTGGGTTCACCAAGGGCCTGCCTTGAGGAGTCTTCAGGCCTAGGTGATATATTGCAGGGGACAGGGGAGAGCCCAGAGACAGACACTGACCACCTTGAGGGCCAGAGAGGCTTCATAGAGGAGGGGACACTGAGCCAGGCCCCACAAAGGACCTGGAGTTGCTGGTGGAGCAGAAAAGGTTCTTCACAGGGAGAAGCAGAGGGAAAAACCTGAAGGAGGGGGCCTGGGTTCACCATCAGTTATGACCCCCGTGTCCTCTGCTAGACCGAGCTTCAAACCCAAGATCAGGTCTGCCCTTGAGGAGTTCCCAGGCTGATGAGAAGTCCACGGTCTCTAGACAGTGATAGGGGCAGCAATAGCCAGGACCATCAGGGTAGTGGCTGGGGCCTAAAGCCTGAACAGGAGGGACCAAGTGGACACCTGGCAGGACAAGTGTGCAGAGAGACACCTGGGCCTCAGGGAATACCTGTAGGTGAGAGAGCAGCAGGACGGGGCAGGGGCAGGGGCAGTGGAGCAGCCCTGAGACTGGGAGGGATGTACAGTGGACACCAAGGGTCTGCTTGGGTTTGGGCACAGATGCCACAGCCCTGGGGCTCTCAGAGGGGACAGTGGGAGGCCAGTAGAAAAGATGACTGGCTACCTTGGGGTGGCTCCCTAGGAGGGAGCTCTGCCCTAGGTTCTAAAGCAAGACAGCAGAGGGAACAGCTTAACTTGCAGGTCAGTATACATCCCACAAGGACCCAGCGTGCAGAAGGTCTAGACACCAGGGCCAGCTTGGGTACAAGAAGAAACTTCAGTACAAGTAATTGTTGTGCGGTTGATTGGCCTGCAAGAGAAAGTTAAGGCCGGTTGAGGGGCGCATAGGCAGCGCTGGGGAGCGACGTCATGAAACAGTGTGCTCAAAGGCAGGGGGGGGGTGGGGCGTGACCTGCCAAAGGAAAGCAAAGGCCCAAAGGCCCTCGGGTAGGTCGGGCCTGTGGGGATGTAAATGAGGGTGGAGACCCCACCCCTGTCATGGCTGGATTGAGGGGGGGGTTACTTTCAGCAGGCCTTTCCATGCCAACGTGCGCTTGACCATCATCACCTCACGTTGTCTCATTTAAAAGCTTTGTTAGATTTTATTTATTGATTCAGTGGGTACCAGAAATGGAGGTCATAGGACAGCTATTGGGATTAGTTGGTCTCTTCCTCTGCTGTGTGGGTCCTGGAAATCAAACTCGGGTTGTCGGACTTTGCAGCAAGCACCTTTACCACCAAGCCATCTTGCCAGCCTCTGATCATGGTTTTTTTTTTTTTTTTTTTTTTTTTTTTTTTTTTGAGAAAGGGTTTTTTTGTGTTGCTTTGGGGCCTATCCCTCCATGGAGAACAGGCTGGCCTCTAACTCACACAGATCTGCCTGCCTCTGGCTCCCGAGCTCTGGGATTAAAGGCGAGCATCACCAACGCCCGGCAAGGATCATCATTTTTATTTTATATTTTTTAAGGTTGCCCAAAGCCTGATCACGTTTTTTTAAACCCAAACTTGTCTATGTACGCCTTACGCCCTGAAATCACAGTAATGTCTATATTTAAAACTGAGCATTTCAATTGACTTGTTTATTGAAATGGATATTACCTGTAATCCCAGCACTTAGAGGCAAGAGGACCGAGTTCAAGGCCATCTTGAAACATACAGGTATTCTGTCTTCTAAAAGCAGCAAAACAGAAGAGCAGGTATAGTAGTGCTTTGGGGAGGTGGAGGCAGGAACATCGGGGAGCTCAAGGCCAATCCCAGGCTGTAGGAGAACCTGTCTGAAAACAAAATGGGCTGGGAATAGATGAGTAGGAGTGAAACCAGGCATGGTGTCTGCACCTGGGATGCCACTGCTGCAAGGCACAGGCAGGATGGCCCTGGGGTTGGCCTGTCAGATTACTCAAGTTGGTGAGCTTCGGGTCCAGTGAGAGACCACATCTAAAAAACTCAGACAGCAGGTGATAAGGGAAACACCAATGTTGACTTCTGGCCTCTCCACAGGCCCAGGTGTAGTTGGTTTTTAACTCTGGGGGCCTGCCACCCAGCTCCCAAATAAACAAACAAACGGAGACTTACAATTATGAGTGCCCAATCGTAGCTTGGCTTGTTTCTAGCCATCTTTTCTAACTTACCTTATCCCATTTCTCTCTAACTCCATCTTGCCTCTGGGCTTTTTACCTCTCTTTATTCTGTATGTCTTTCTTTCCTTACTCTGGCTGGCTGGGTGGCTGGCCCCTGACTTCCTTCTCTCCTAGATGTCTCCTATATATTCTCTCTGCCTGCCAGCCCCGCCTGTCTTTCTCCTGCCTTGCTGACCAATTAGGTGTTTTAGACAGGCAAAGTAATGCAGCTTTACAGAGTTTAACAAATACAACACTTCTTTACATCATTAAGCAAATATTTCCACAGCATAAATGGATGTAACATATCTTTAAAAAAAAAATTATTTATTATGTATACAGTCTTCTGCCTACATGCCAGCAGAGGGCGCCAGGTCTCATTCAAGGTGGTTGTGAGCCACCATGTGGTTGCTGGGAATTGAATTCAGGACCTCTGGAAGAACAGTGAGTGCCCTTAACCACTGAGCCATCTCTCCAGCCCGGATGTAACATATCTTACACTAATATTCTGTAACACACAGGTCTCTGCATGCGCGTGCACACATAACAAATATATAAGTGGGGAGAAACAATTTTCTTATTTTCATTTACTGCATTTTAATTTACTATTTAGCTACCTATTCTGATGCTTGTCTTTCTGGAATGGTCCAGTGCAGGCCATTGCCACACTGCCATTGCTCTCTATGGTAGACTGGGTCTATGAGAGTGAGTGAGTCATATATATCCCTGCTCTATGCCTTGGTTTCCACGCAGGTCCAGGTGTTGCTGTAAGAGCTGGGTGAGCACACACACTTGCTGTCTACCCCACTGCTGATGCCCATCTGTCTGTCTGCTTTTTGTTTTGAGACAGTGTCTCATTCTCTCTAAGCCAGATGACCTGGAGCTTGCTGGAGCCTGCAGTGATCCTCCTGCCTCGGCCTCCTTCAGTATTGGCATTACAGACTAGACACTTAGATAGACACCTAGATACATTGCGTCTGTGTTGCGCCAAGCTGTCCTGCCCATACCGTGAGCTTGAAGGGGGCTCGAGGGGCCAGCTGGACACAGCCCTGATGCCATGTCTCTCCTACCTGCCCCAACAGGCCCGGAGCATTCTTCTGACTCTGAATACACTCTTTCAGAGCCCGACTCTGAGGAGGAAGAGGAAGAAGAGGAGGAAGAGGAGACCACTGACGACCCCGAATATGACCCTGGCTATAAGGTGAAACAGCGCATAGGTGGGGGCAGGGGAGGCCCATCTCGCCGGGCCCCCCGAGCGGCTCAGCCTGCTGGCCCACCTGCACAGCCCTGCCAGCTCTGTGGCCGATCACCGCTGGTGGACGCTGCACCAGGTACCCCACCTTGCCGACTCTGCTGCCCTGCGACAGCAACCCAAGAAGCCCCAGCCCCTGAAGGCAGGGCTCTTGGCGAGGAAGAGGAGGAGCCATCTGGCACTGGGGAGATCCGGCCAGCAAGGCGGGATGGAGATGAAGATGAGGAGGAGGGGGGTACCTACCACTGTACGGAGTGTGAGGACTCCTTTGACAACCTTGGGGAGCTGCATGGCCACTTCATGCTGCATGCCCGGGGTGAGGTGTAGGCGGGGCCACTAGGGAGCTGGTGGAGGGGTGGGTTGGGAGCAAGGGCTGAGGAAGCTGGAGTGTGGGCCGGGGGTCCCACCCATGTGTGTGAAGGGCAGAATAAAGCCAGATTCTGTGTGTGCTGAGCTGCATGTGTGTGGCCGAACATGGAGTGCCGTCTACACCAGCATCTCTGCTTCCGTCTCCTGAGTTTGGGATGACTGGCATGCACCACTGTGGCTGATGCTGTGTGCTGCAGGGGACTGGACCAGGGCTTTGAGCCTGTTAGCAAGGTACATCCTGACTTTTTTTTTTTTTTTTTTTTTTTTTTTCTCCTCGAGACAGGGTTTCTCCGTGTAGCTTTGGAGCCTATCCGGGCACTGGCTCTGGAGACCAGGCTGGTCTCAAACTCACAGAGATCCGCCTGCCTCTGCCTCCTGAGTGCTGGATTAAAGGTGTGCGCCAACAACCATCCTGACCAGTTTTGTTTGGCTTCCTTTTTCTTTGAGACAAGGTTCTGCTGGCTTTGAACTTGTGTTTCTCCTGCCTTAGTTCAAGTGCTAGAATCACAGGCACAAAGCCACAGTACTTAGCTAGGAGTCCTGGGGTTCAGGCCACCCCTGTGATCCATGCTGGGTATCCTTCCTGGCTTATTGGTAGAGGACAGAGAGTTTGCAGGAGGTGCCTGCCAGTGGCATGGGCCACTTCCCTCACAGATGCCCCTGCTGGGAAGTCATTTGCATAGCTACAGCCAGATGCAAAGAAGCCTAGGAAAGACTAGCTAGCCAAGCTCCTCAGAGCAGGACATTTGTGGGGCCATAAAGGCCATGAGTGGTCTACCATCACATCACTGATCTTCTTGCAAACTCTGATAGGGAGCTCCCCTTGTTTTGCCCTAGCGTGCAGTGCTGGCCAAGGGCTTTCTTTGGGGTCGAAGAATTCAGGAATTCACACTAAAGAAGAGCTGTGATGTGATCCCAGCAACCCTGGCTCTGCCATTGATTTGCATGACTGACCTCTTCAAGAACTGGGTCTCAGCTGGGCGCTGGTGGCACACCTTTAATCCCAGTACTCGGGAGGCAGAGGCAGGCTGATCTGTGTGAGTTCCAGGCCAGCCTGGTCTCCAGAGCGGTGCCAGGATAGGCTCCAAAGCTACACAGAGAAACCCTGTCTCGAACAAAGAGAAAAAGAGAAAAAAAAAAGTGGGTCTCTAACAAGTAGTTTTGAGTACCTCCTGAGTGCTGAGTGTTGTAAATGCACCGTTAAGTACCATTTACGTGTGTGTTCTGCCCAAGGAGGCCAGAAGAGGGCGTCAGATTCCCTGGAATACAGGCTGTTGAGAGCTAGCTAGCCATGGAGCTGACATGGGCCTTGTGGGGTTGACGCTGAAGATACAGTACAAACGCTGCCTCATGTGTTAGGTGGGTAATGCTGTGAAGTAAAAACAGGGGTAAACTGTTGTAGGAGGGTATCTTGGGCACTGTCTGTTGCTGTGAAGAGACACCGTGACCAAGACCACAACATAAAAGCAAGCATTTAATTGGGTGCTGGCTTAACCGTTGAGAGGTTTGATCATTTCTATGGAAGGAGGCAGTTGTGCATGGGAGTGAACTATTCTCTTTGCTGGACAAGCCCACCTGGGATAATTAGGAAGGCCAGAATGGGGCCTGAGGTTGAGGACAGCACAGGGGCCCACTCCTCACAACCTTCTGAAAATTGGGTGTCCTGATGCTGTGCATGGCTCAGAACCCCTCACTCCC